TAGATGGATAACAGATCTAACCGTTAACTTGGTTTTTATAGTATATTTAAATCTAATGTCTGTTAGGGACATTTAGGCACTAGATGGATAATAGATCTAACCGTTAACTTGGTTTTTATAGTATATTTAAATCTAATGTCTGTTAGGGACATTTAGGCACTAGATGCATAACAGATCTAACCGTTAACTTTGTTTTTATAGTATATTTAAATCTAATGTCTGTTAGGGACATTTAGGTACTAGATGGATAACAGTTGTAACCGTTAACTTTGTTTTTATAGTATAGTTTACGATAGTTTGAGCAATTCACGTATATATACGTGAATTGCCAAAAAAAGGTTCCAATGCTAAATAACAGTTTGTCGAATTGAAAGTTCCTTTGCTCGTTGTTAAGCTCAAAGCTACACACTGATAGTTTTTAAACGAGACCCAAAACTCGAGCGCTTTCGAATAGTTCACTGTTCTTCTTCAGGAGAATAAAGGGTTATGTTCAATAAGTTTCAGGAGAATAAAGAGTTATGTTTAATGAGTTTTAGGAGAATAAAGAGTTATGTTTAATGAGTTTCAGGAGAATACAGAGTTATTTTTAATGAGTTTCAGGAGAATACAGAGTTATGTTTAATGAGTTTCAGGAGAATACAGAGTTATGTTTAATGAGTTTCAGGAGAATAAAGAGTTATGTTTAATGAGTGTAATGAAACATATAAGCACGGATGTCGACGTCACGTAAATCGTATGTTCAATATGGGTTAGCCTTGAGAACTAGCCAATCATAACCTAGAGTTGTTGGTGTCAGCTTTAGTTTGTGGCAAAGAGGTTCGTACTGTACATAAAAAACTTAAGTGTGATAATAGTTATAAGAATTATTAACCATTTTTGAAATTAACACTGAGACACTGAAACGGGGGGGGGGAGGCATCCCAAAAAGTTTAATCCCGAACAGAGCTCTCTAAACAAGTGTGTGCTTATAACATTGCATGGAGTATTTAATATCTTCGATCCGATTCATCTGGGCTACCCATAATCCCCCAATACTCGACGAGTGCAGTTTTCTTTTTTTTAAAGGCTTACTTGTTACGTAAATGTTTAAAGTCATAGTTGCTTCATTCAGATTGATTCTGTGAATGTTAATTATCGAGAAAGGTATTTTTTGAGTTCACAGCTTTACTTTGAACGAAGAATATCATTCGATCGGATTAAGTCAGGAGCTACGTTTCGGCAAACTTGTTTTTTACCTTCTTTAATGGTCCGGTCGTGGCCTAGTGGTTAGTTTGCTGGGTTGCGCATCGAACGGTCCAAATTTCGAGACGTGATGCCAGTGAACACGCTCCACTTTTTCGGATGTGGGCGCATTATGAAAGTGACAGTTAGTTACTCCATTCGATTCAAAAAGCCGGACAAAGCCTTTTTGGTGGCGGCGTTCACAATTAAAGACGTCTATATCTTAACGGCCCGACATGGCCAGGTGATTAGAGGGCGCTCGACTCGCAATATGCGGGTCGCGGGTTCGACTTCCCGTCACACCAAACATGCTCGCCCTTTCAGCCGTGGGGGCGTTATAATGTTCCGATCAATCCCACTATTCGTTGGTAAAAGAGTAGCCCATCCGTTGGCGGTGGTGGTGACTAGCTGCCTTCCCTCTAGTGTAACTCTACTATATTAGGGACAGCTAGCGCAGATAGCCCTCGTGTAGCTTTGCGCGAAATTCATAGCAAACAAACAAACTATATCTGAATCCTAGGGATCTCTGACCTGACCGCTTAAAGCTCGCGCATAAAGTGTCGTTTATGTTGAAAAGTTCAATACCTGTATCCCTCCACTAAGATGATTATCTTCATGTCTATAAAGATGTGGAAACCTATTGATTTAGCTGGTCTATCTGGGACATTGGTTCTCAAATTGTTTTCGTCGGAGTACCACTTCTGAGGGGAAAAAGACCCGCGCACCACCTACCTGTCCTACACCACCTATTATGTTCCCTCGTATGGCCTCGGCCATGGCGTTGCTCTCGTCAGTGACTTGCACTTTGAAACAGCCGGCGGACCACCTGGAGGACCCTCTCGGGCCACTAACTAGTGAGTTGCGGACTACACTTTAAGAACCACTCATCCAGAGGATATCTGCATTTGAGTTTATTAATACAACCACACACTTGTTATTGTAGCGCTACTAATATTTCATTGTTTCCGTCGCCTTTAATGAAAGTTATTGTTGTTGTTTGCTATTAAGTACAAAGCTATACAATGGATTATCTCTACTCTGCCCACCGCTGGTATCGAAACCTTTTTTTTTAACGTTATAGTTTATCAGACTTTACTGCTGAGGGCCTAGCATGTCCTGATGATGTGGGTATTCGACTCACAATCTGCGGGTTGGAGGTTCGGATCCCCGTCACCGAATATGCTCGCCCTTTCAGTTGTTAGGTCGATATAAAGTGACGGTCAATCCCACTATTAGTCGGTAAAAGAGTAACCAAAGAGCTGGCGGTGGTTGGTGTTGACTAGCTGATTTCCCTGCTTTCGTTGCTGTAAATTTTGTGAGCTTTAAAAGCACAGTGAGATATATTCATTCTAATATCTTAAAGCCAGTGGAATGATGGGTATTATAAGTCACTATATTTTGGTTGTAATAAAGTATATGTTAACAGAAAAACAACAACTCTTATTTATTTCAGTAATCGTTAATCATCAAGAAGAACTTAGAAAATTACAAGATGAACACGACAAAGAGGTGAGTTTAATATTTGTTTCAAAGTTACTAATTTCACATAAGCAATCATAAAGAAATACTCAACCTTTTTTAAAAAAATATTTTTCGTAACTTCACTGGTCGAATACTACAGATGTTAATCTAAAAACGTTTGTGAAACATTAATCCCAAAATCTTACTCAGGATCTAAATTTACTAATATCTTAATGAGGTGGGCTTGATTAGGTTACAGTGACTGTCTTTGGGATTACTTTAATGAAGTGCTTGATTCTTTAGGCTTAATTTCATGACATGTGTTTGATTTTTAGGCTCAATTAATTAAAGCGTGCTTGATTCTTTTAGCTTAATTTAATGAAATGGGTTTGATTCTTTAGGCTTAATTTAATGAAGTGGGCTCGATTCCTTAGGCATAAGTTAATGAAGAAGGCTTGATAGATTGTAATTTTTGTATGAGCTGTTTTTAATTTATTTAATTGAATTCATTATTTTGAATTTTTTTTGGCATATAATTTGATTGTTCAAACTAAAGAAAAAATGTTATTTTCTTGAAGACCACAATAACGTATCCTCCCGCTCTTACTTTTTTACTTTGAAACATTTAGACATAGACAGAAGGAGCTTTCGACGGGTTAAAGCGTCATCATGGTGTAAAAGCTGTTGGTTAGACCATATTCTAATAATGATGCAAAATAATTTCGTAAAAGAAAGAGAATTTACGAGTTGTGACACGATTTTATTTTATGTTTAAGAATTTATTTAGTTTTACTGTCTTAGTTCCAAGTAAGTCGACTTATTAATAAAAGGGATCGTGATCTAAAATTATAAACTTAGTCTCAAACTACTATTACCATAAAAACTTTAGTGGCGCCATCTATTGCTTGAAAATACAAGCAACACATTATTTGTAATTAAAAAATTACTTAATATCCAATAGCAGTTTTAATGAATGACGTTTCATATTTTCCTGAAGGTTGAAGACTTGAAAACTATTCATGCTCAATCTGCTAAAGATGCCCAGAGCAGGAACAGTCTATCAGTTGCAGCTTTAAAAGAACAACACAATCGTCTAATTGAAGGTAACCCTTGTTAATATGCAAACACAAACACTTATGTTTAATTAAACTCGCGAAACATTGTTCTTGTGAATTCCAGGATCAAATATTTTAAAACTACGTCTCATGATGCTGAATTTACTTCCAAATTCTACTTTCTTCATTTAAGGATATTAATAAGTAACCAAAAATATAAAAAAATCAGCATCGTTAGCATAAATTTATGTGTCATTATGTTAATTCATTGGCACACATTTATATTCAGGATGGAGACTTTTGAGGCCAAAAGTTATCATCAGTCATATATGTTGTCAGTAATCATTACTGCAGTTAGCATGAGTTATATATTTTGTCAGTTATCATTTGTTCAGTTAGCATGAGTTATACATGTTGTCAGTTATCATTTGTTCAGTTAGCATCAGTTACATATGTTGTCAGTAAACATTCCTTCAATTAGCATCAGTCATATATGTTGTCAGTAATCATTACTGCAGTTAGCATCAGTCATATATGTTGTCAGTAATCATTACTGCAGTTAGCATTAGATATATATGTTGTCAGTAATCATTCCTTCAATTAGCATCAGTTATATATGTTGTCAGTAATCATTCCTTCAATTAGCATGCTAACTGCAGTAATGATTACTGACAACATATATGACTGGTCAGTCATATATGTTGTCAGTAATCATTCCTTCAGTTAGCATTAGATATATATGTTGTCAGTAATCATTCCTTCAGTTAGCATCAGTTATATATGTTGTTGGTAATCATTCCTTCAGTTAGCATCAGTTATATATGTTGTCAGTAATCATTCCTTCAGTTAGCCTCAGTTACACATGTTGTCAGTAATCATTCCTTCAGTTAACATCAGTCATATATGTTGTCAGTAATCATTCCTTCAGTTAGCATTAGATATATATGTTGTCAGTAATCATTCCTTCAGTTAGCATTAGATATATATGTTGTCAGTAATCATTCCTTCAGTTAGCATCAGTTATATATGTTGTTGGTAATCATTCCTTCAGTTAGCATCAGTTATATATGTTGTCAGTAATCATTCCTTCAGTTAGCTTCAGTTACACATATTGTCAGTTATCATTCCTTCAGTTAGCATTAGTTATATATGTTGTCGGTAATCATTTCCTTAATAGATCTGGAGAAGGACTTTGCCAACCAAATGCAACAGGCTGTAGAGAGTCACGAGAAAGCTCTAGACTCCTTAAAGCAGCAGCTTCAAGACCTACAGAAGCAGTGTGAAGATCTCCAGCTAGAGAAGAAGCAGATGGAAAGCAGTCTCCAGGAAGACACCAACACTAAACTACAGGTATGATCTCTTCCTGGAATCTGACTTCTAGAATAGGGCCCCCCAGTTGTTCAGTGATAAGTCTGCAGGCTTATGACACTAAAAAGTGGATTTCAATACCCGTGGTGGGCAGAGCACGAATAGGTCATTGTGTAGCTTTGTGCTTAATAACAACCAAACCAATTTAGAATATCAAGTGTGTGTTAAGAAACGAGGTCGACACTTAAAAAAACATCCTTAAATAACTGTACAGTTTTAGGCCAATAATAATAATAATAACATACAACTTCACTTCATAAAATTAGATAATTTATTTACGACATTTTGTCCGTACGGCTATTTCAACTAAGAACTTGATTTTGTTTGTTTTTTAAATTCGCGCAAAGCTACACTAGCGCTATCTGCACTAGCCATTCCTAAGTTAACAGTGTAAGACTAAAGGGAAGGCAGCTAGTCATCACCACCTACCACCAACTTTTGGGCTATTCTTTTACCAACAAATAGTGGGATTGACCGTTACATTATAACACCCTCATGGTTGAAAGGGCGAGCATTTTGGTTGGAACGGGGATCCTGATTTTGTGGAAGTACGTCTGAAATTGTTTCAACTTTTCTAATTCCAAGGAAACATGTCAAGAAATATTTCTATGGCTAAATTTTCTATATTATTGAAAAAAAAAAGTGTTTTTATATTACTAACATTTTTTGTTTTAAACATTTTTTTAAGAAGGTCTTATAAGCAACATGGCATAAATAAGATATCTAATTTTTGAAAATCGAATCGTATATTATTGGTAAGTTATTTTTTTAGAATGACTTCCATTCTCCAGTATGTATTATTTTCTTTAAAAACTGAAATTGGTTATAACTAAAACCAGGACTTTAGAAATAGGTAACATCATAGTTATTGAGTCTACCAAAACACCCTAATAGCTGATGGCTGAGACTTAACTTATTCAAGCACCTACCCGGTAATGATAATATTTTTTTTTACTTCTTCAAATTAATGCCCTCTAGTGAAGATACACTTCCAGAACTTAGCTGATTTGATTGGCTAATGTTTGTTACAGTGTTCTATGTCGTTGTTTTTCCTTCACTAGACAATGCAACATTTTCATCACTTGTGTATATTAATGATTTTTATAATCACCCCCCCCCCCAAAAAAAAAAAACACGCCTGAAGTTGGTAGGCTGATTCACCTTCTGGAAACACTTAAGTTATTAGGATTATATTTAATTTTTAATCTGGTATGATATAACATAACGTTCAGGAACCTATTGGTCCATCTTGGCTATTCCATCCTCTAAATTAAACTAAAACTATTGATAAGTATATTTTTAAAAAAATCTTAAAGCCTGCCCTTATCATTCATATACTTATCAAGCTGTTAGAAAAATGAAACTGTCTTAGCTGAAGATGACTCCTACCTTGCCAAAATTTATACTTGAGTCCTCCTAGTCCTACTATTTTCACTGTTAAATATAAAAAAGATGATACATCAACACTATCAATTCCCTTTACAACCTTAAACACCTCAATCAGATCCCCCCCAACTCAACCTCTCCACATATGACAACCCCTCCATCCCAGACACCATTCTAGTAACCCTTCTCTGAACACTTTCCAATAATTCAATGTTTTTCCTAAGGTAAGGAGCCTAAGACTGAACACAATATTCCAAATTTTGCCTAACCAGTGACCTGTACAATGAAATTATAACCTCTTTAGACTTGTATTCAATATTTCTGTAGATACAACCTAAAATCTTATTTGCCCTACCACTAGCAATAGCACACTGC